GCATAGATTAAAAGAGATTTCTGAAAACTACAGACCTAACTAGCACAAATTACCATAGTTGATTTCTCATATAGTCACTCAACTAATAGTTACTAGCTCAAAAAGTTTCCAATTTTCTTCCACAAAGAAAGTGACTTTTCTGAGATCATAATTATTAATTGAGTGACCATTTGAGAAATCAATGCCAAATAAAGATTACCTTAAATGCAACATAAGATTTGCTAGTGTTCTTAATCTTTACAGCACTCTTCACCTGCTTTCCCGGTTCATCTGGAAAAAAAAAATCAATATAAAATTTAACAGGTAAAAGCAGAGCACAATTCCTCCAGTTTTCAACACGAAAAATTATAAGACCTAAAAAACCGGAAATTGTTGACTAAAAAAGGTCAATTTAGTCAACGGCGAGGTAAACGGACGTACAAGGGAAGTAGAGACTGTTAGCTGGATCGAGCCGAAGTCTACGTCGAGCCGGAAGCAGTGATCTAGCAACGGAGCTAACTGACGTAGAAGCACGAGAGCTGTTAGATCCGACGCCGTTTTGGTGACTGTGATTCTGAGAGTGAAGATTCTGTGTAGACGACGAAGAAGAAGAAGTTCCTGATTGCCAGAGAGGACAAAGCTTCCAGAGCTTTCCGTCGGAGTTATGTGACTTGTGGTGGTCGGCGATGGCCATAGGACGGAGTTTTGGCCGGAATCTAGTCGAGTTTACCGACGACAAGTTGCAATTTTCCGGTGATAAAAATTAGGGCAGCTTGTAATTGTCCTTAGTGAGCAAACTCTTTCACGACGTTGACTATATGTTTTGAAGGTCAGAAACAAGTCTTCGGGAAATTGTTTTCTTTCTGTAATTCGTCGATTCAGCGGCTGATAAAGACCACCGAAAGCTTAAAACGATTTGGACATATATATAGCTGTATTTTTTAAAAAAAAATAATTGTAATTGTAATTTAAGAGTAGATAAAATAAGTGCAACGCGTTAAAATAGTTTGGACATATAAACGTAAGTGTGAGAGATAACAAGAAGTTGAAAAAATAAGTTATGTTTAAAAAAAAAGGAAGTAATTAGACAAAATTTGACAGATTTTACTAAATACATAATTCTAGATAGAAACTTTTGAAAGTCAATGATTAAAGTAGAAGAGGCTAGTAAGATATTAGTAATGGGATAGGCTCTTATTCTTTATTGCATATTAATGTTACTTATGGCTTGATTTGTTTGATATCTTTGTTATTTTGTCGTACTATCATTATGCAATTTTGTTTTAGAAATATGTCTTTTGAGACAAATATCTAATTCAGTCTTTTAATTTCATAAAAATAAGAATAATAGTAAGTTTATCGTATTTTTTACACTCTATTTATATATATGATTATAATGAGTATGTTATTATCGTTAGTATAAAATTTTCTATTCGAGTTTGATCAATTTGAATTGGCAAAATATAAAATTTATTTAAAAAGAGAACATTTTCTACCATAATTTTTTCAATATTTAAAATTTAAAATCAGTATTTTTATTTAAAGATAAAAATATATTATTCATCCCATCAAGATGCTTAAAAATATTTGCAGTTGATCGAAGAGGAAAGTGCACAGAAATAAGCGCGTTGTCGGACTTCAAATCACAGTTTTAAGTGCATTTTGTTTTTGTTTTCACTCCCTTTTACACCATTAATTAGTTGATAAAAATGGTCAATCTTGCAAAATTATAGCAGTAACATTCTATGCACTAAGTTAATTTAATTTAACTATCTTTTGGGTGATTAATTACTTGTGTACATCATTCATGGAGTTGTAAAATCTGAGCTTGACATAGAATCCTCATATCATATTATAAATTAGGCTTCAAGTTAGTCGGTTTAGACATGCACGATATTGAGTCTTTGATTGTATATGATGTTCTCCTTGTATGATTTGAAACAATCTTCACTTTATGAGTTAATTTTGAAGCTAAGTCTAAATTTCATTTTGTTATCATAATATTAAAGCTAAGCTAGACTCACCTCAATTCTTTATTTATCCGATGTTGAATAGTCATATAACACATTTACGCACCAATTGACAAGTCTGGGCGTGAGGGCATGCAACAACAATGTTGAATCTCTACATCTACATCAGCTATTTAAGGATGAGATAAAATAAGATTACCCTTTTTTATATGAATTTAGACAATTTTCATCTCACAAGCTAAGTTTAGATTAAGTAAATTTCAAGTTCTATTTGTTAATTAGACTCAGGTCATTGTCTATAGTCTATAGTAGATATAAAAATCATCTATAAATTGGGACAAAATCAATGCATGTGCATGTTTGAAAGAGATTTTAATTTCACACATTCCTCCTCACCTTTTGGCATGAAAAAAAGTGTAATATAAAAGTTTCCAACTTAAAGAAGTAATAGTAAAATCTTCATATTTCAACTACTTAATTCAAAAATTGTTGACCTCTCTTCTACATTTCATATATTTTAATAGTACTCCAAGTTCTTTTCAAAGTTTCTTGTATTTTTTGGACTTTGTTTCCATTTTAGATGGCCACAAGATTCTATTTTTAATCCAATATTCTAAAATCCTAAGTGCTCATTCAAAAATAATACACTACTTAATAAGTTTTGTTGCTTTTAGATAATTATACGCATCGTTTTTGTTTTCAATATGAAATTTATTTGATTCACATCAATAAAAACATTTAATTTAATGAATAAGAGTTCAATTTTTTTCTTACAACAAGATATAGTCATAATAAACATATGTACGTATCACTAAAATTGATATACATTTATACAATGGCCAGTGATAGAGCAACATGTATCACGTATAATAAAGGACAGTCATTTGGATATTTCTAATCAAAATATTTAATAAAATATAAGTAAATATATAATGTAACCTCATAACGACATATATCGATTTAAAAGATTCTAGAAAAAAATTCTCAAGTATTAAGTTAGACAACAATAACAATAATATATATCTAGTGTAATTTCACAAATAAAAGTTAAAAATAATAATATATATGCAATTCTTATCATTATCTCATAAAGACAGAGAACGTTATTTTCGATAAACTCAGACAAGATCGCATATAGATAGAGGGACAATAACATGAGTAGACAGCGAATGTGAAATGGCACGGCATCTGGCTGTTAGGCAATGACAAATTAATAACTCTAATGATCACGCGTACCTAATTTGTCAGTAATCTTATCAATGAACATTAAGTGTCAAATTTCCTAATTAATTTTCTATTAAATATACTTTTTTCAACTTTGATTTTGACTTTAAATACTCGTGATTTTCAATTAATCAAACTTTCAATATGAATTATTCGATTCTTTTTAATTTTAATATACTAAACTTTCATTCTGTGTAAAATTCAAAAAAAAAAAAACCGAATCACTGAGATCTATTATATCGAAACTTATCATACACAAAATATGAAGGCCAATTTTATGGATTTTGTAGTGAAGGAATTTAAAGGGGGAGTAATAATTGTTAGCAAAATAATTGGTGGATAATTAAAGAGGAAGGTGGATGAGTTATAGAGACATTTACATTTGTCGGCTCTGTGTTGTTGGTGTAGGTTAGTTGGATGGTAGAAATTAATTAGGTAATTAAACAACACTTTTCAGCTGATTTTGACTCACTCCCTCAACATTATACTCCCTCCATATGTTATTTCTCGGGATTTGAGTCATCTGAATATGAAATCATCTTTATTTGAAAACGTTCTACTTTTAATGTGAACTTTTCAATACGATTACAAATTTCATCTTTACTGTGAGATTTTTCTATACAAATTCAAGTTTATTATACTCCTTTAAATGAATTAATAACTCATTTATTTATTATCTCAATCTATTATGATATACATATCCTTCCCACCGTCTAAGGTGAATTTTAAAATCAGAGATTATAACTCTAGCATCAGTACAAAAATTGAAAGTCACGTAAACCACTTAAAAAAAGACATTAAAAAAAAAATTATACCAAACTTTAGGGAATTGAAAAAGGAAAATGGACCTCATTGTTTATTTGTTAATCCCTCCGTTTCTTTTTATATGCTACATTTTTATATTTTACTTGCATTAAGAAATCAAGTTTACCATTCTACCTTTGTTTAATATTTTTTTGAAGTTAACTTTTTAATAAATGATAAATAAAGTCATCTTTTATTTTTAATTTGTTTGTTGAGATTTTTTTTTCAAAATCAGATTTTATAGAGTAATGCAATAATGAGAGTAATTAATCAATGTATGAAGTAATTACAATGAATATTAATTATTTATTAACTTTCCTAAGTTGGTCAAATATCTATTTTCAAGACTAATTAACTATCAAGGGTATAATAGGAATAATATTATAATTTTTGCATTGATTTTATAAAATGACAAGCACTCTCTCTGTCCACTTTTATTTGTCATGTTACATTTTTTGAAAGTCAATTTGATTAATTTTCAAGTTAATTAGACTACATTAATTTAATATTTTAAATAAAAAATTTAGATATTCAAAATTTATATTAAAATTACTATAAATGGCAAAGGTCGACTACACTATTTCAAAAGATTTTGAAATAGTGTAGTCGACCCATGGAAAAGAGTTATGCTATTTTCCCTAAGCACCTACCCACACTATTTCACAAAAATTTGTGCATTGAGCAAAGTTGTAGCCCAAATTAAATCCAGAATGATTTTTCACCTATTCTATTGGAATCAATAAAGTGCTCAAGTACAATAATCTATATGAATGTAGATTTTCAATAGAGTGATTCTTCACCTATCTTATCGGAATCAATAAAACGAGAATCGATATCGATCGACCCGTACCTGATATCTTAATTGTAATTTGGGCACAACATTATTTTTGCTATTGCTAATAGTAAAATTTTTACTTAAATTAACTTCAAACAACTCATAGTATTACTAATTAAATTGAAAGTTCATATTACTTTACTATGATTGAGTGATAAAATGTGTTTGTTACAATAAATATTCAAATATACTTAATATAAACACTCGCTGAGAATAAATTTTCAAAATCGAATCTCCATTCAAACTTTGGTTAAATGGTATAACATTACTCTTTTCACTAATAGATCATATAATAAATTTAAGTAAATAACTCTAAAATCTGACAGTACTTGGACCCCAACAGTTCAGATCTATAACTTTACTCAACGTCTCTTCCGTTTTCCTCAACTTCTCACCGGAGACGATCGCCGGAGAAGATGCCACCGCCGGAGCCGTCGAGAATCTCCAAGCCGAGGTATTATTAGAAGCAATTAAATTAGTTTTGGCATAGTGATGAATCGATCTTAAAGCGTAATTCCATCTGGCAAATCCTTGATCTTTCAATGCTTCTACTGCTCCAATACTTGCTGCTACGATCCATGCCGATCCCTTTGCTGCTGCTGCATTCATTTTTTTTTTTCGGAAAATTAAAAAATCTCTGTGATTTTGTTGATTGATTTGAGAATGAATTAGATGTTAATTGTATAAGTATATATATAAAATGAAGAATCTGGAAAACAGAGAGAAAGAAGGAAATATGAAACTACAGGCGGATTTGCCTATAGTTTTGGAAAACATCCACAGTTTTTAATTTACCTGCATAATTAAGTAAAAGGAATTAATTAGTGTGGTAATTGAGAACGGTTTTATCTAATTACACAAAATAGCCCTACCATAAATACTAATCTACTCTATAGTTTGAAATATTACACATTATCTCATTAATTCATAATTTCGTATCAGATTTCAAATCGGATATATTATTCCTTCAAATTTCAAGTCAATACACCATTTTTTTAAATTTCTAATTTCAAATTAGATATAGAGAGAACTAGTGTATCTGAAATACATGTGGATTACGCTTGAATATAGTGTATTTGAAACAAAGTATACTTAATTTGATTCGTATATATATATATGAAATACATGTATTTGACAAAGTACATATGATACAAAAGATAATTTCGAAAACTAAAGAAAAGACATGTAGTTAAATCCTAAAATAATGAAATTTGCGTTGTTAGCAGAAAAAACAAACTACGGTAGTTGTGCACGTGGCTGAGATATGAGGTACATGTATATTTGATAAAGTAAATATGATACAAAAATAATTTTACAAACAAAAAGAATAGATGCGTAACGTAAATTCTAAACTAATGAAATTGTGTTGTTAGCTAAGAAACAAACTATGGCAGCTGGGTATGCGTCTGAGATACATGTATCTAACAAAGTAAATATGATCAAAAGACAATTTCGAAAACTAAAAAATAAATTACGTAACTAAATTTTAAACTAGTGAAACTTGTGTTGTTAGCTACGAAAAAACAAACTACGGCAGCTGTGCACGCGGAAATCTTTTCTTCTTTTTCTTTTGAAGCCAGTTTCCTAGTTAGATAGGCCCACGAATTTTGGACTCATGGGTTGTTCACCGGGCCATTTCCACTTTTGCCACTATTTCGAGTTTGTCTATAGTTTTTAGGAAAAATTAGCAATTAAGCCATAATACCTAATATAATTAGTCAAAATAATAACACTTTAAAATATTTATTTAAAATGGCAGAATGACAATATTTTTATTAAATAATATGTATTCAGATTTTAAATTAATTTTATTTATGAAAAGAGTCCTATACTGGACCAAATTATATATCAATAACCGTTTAAAAGTGAAAAAATAAAATAAAACCCAATACCATTAACCTTTTTTCATCACCATTCACGTTTCTTCCCCAACTTTCACGTTTCTTCCCCACCTTTCACGTTTCAAGTTTATCTTTCTTCAAGGTGTTAAATTGTTGTTCATCAAGAAATTTTCTTTATAGTTAAACGAAATCTCTTTATTAATTCAAGTAGATTTCTCGGTTGGCAAGGTAATTTCCATTATCCATTTCGATTAATTATTTAGATTTCTTTTGATTTGTTTTCAATATCATTGTTTATGGTTTATATTTTGCATTGTACATATTACGGATTTTCTGTCAATTTTTTCGATTTTTATGCAAGTTTGTTTACATATTCATCTAATATTTATGTATTTCAATTAGTTATTTAGATTTCTTTTGATTTATTTTCAATATCACCATTTATGATTTATATTTCGCATTGTACATATTACGGATTTTCCGTTAATTTTTTCGATTTTTATGCAAGTTTGTTTACATATGCATGTAAAATTTATGTATTTTAGATTTTTAGTCGATTAAACAATTTTTTTTCAATTTTTTTCTGATTTCGTTTTAATATTTCAGATTTATTAGAATCTACAAATTCATTCATATGTTTATTTTGTTTGATTTTTAATACATTTATATTTGCTTTTAGGGTTTTAGATTTGGGGAAAGCATTTGTCTGTTTACAATGTCTAAATCAACAGTTTATTTGTGTATTCATTCTATCTATTTATCAACAAGTTTTACATTTTTTGTTTTTACATTGTATTTCAATCTCAATTAGTATACCAACATGTTTGTATTTCCTACTTAATTTGTATTCATCCTAACTGTATGCTAACAATGTTGTATTTTATTGGGTATTCATTCTGTATTTCAATCTCAATTTATATGTGAACAAGTTTGTATTTCTCTTTTGTTTTGTATTCAACCTAATTGTATACCAACAAGTTTTGTATTTTATATGCCTACTTTACGTTTCGAAGTCACTTTGTATTTCAAATGAAGAGAGTATTTAATTTTTTGTATTCACAACTTTATATTCAATCTCACTTTGTATTAACTTTGTATTTTCATCTCACTTTTGTATTCATATATTGTTGTATTCAACAGTATAGTTCATGATCCATTAGTTTGTATTTTTGACCTTTCAAAGTCACTTTGTATTTCAAATGAAGAGAGTATTTAATTTTTTGTATTCACAACTTTATATTCAATCTCACTTTGTATTAACTTTGTATTTTCATCTCACTTTTGTATTCATATATTGTTGTATTCAACAGTATAGTTCATGATCCATTAGTTTGTATTTTTGACCTTTCAAAGTCACTTTGTATTTCAAATGAAGAGAGTATTTAATTTTTTGTATTCACAACTTTATATTCAATCTCACTTTGTATTAACTTTGTATTTTCATCTCACTTTTGTATTCATATATTGTTGTATTCAACATATAGTTCATGATCAATTAGTTACATTAACTTAATGGGATACAAATTATTGTATGCATTCAAATAGAAAAAACAACTACTAAACTAAAAAAAAATAAAATTCATTCGTTATACATCATAATTTGGATACAAAACATCCGAAAAAAGCTATAAATCCCAATGCATACAAAGATTTCACTGATTCAATCAAAAAAAAAAACTCTTGTACTCAACATATACGAATATCTCATCCAAACAAATAAAAAAAAATACCTGATTGTTCATTGGATGCGACAAATTTATAGTTGTCAATTTTGAAAATTTTTGTTTCAAAAATATGTCGTATTCAACTTGAAGAAGCTTTGAAAGTTATCAGATGAATGATTCGGAAGACAAACTAAATTATTTAATTTTTTTTTTATGTTCTTAAGAAGAAAGCAAAAAAACGCTCAACAGAAAGATGACTATTTATGCTCTTTTCAAAACGTAACTGATTTGTATTTAAAATCTTTTTTACCTTTTTTGATATTTTTTGTTCCATGATTTTCTCCGTTCTGTTATTAATTATTTATATTCTTTCAAATTAATCAAAATAAAATAAATACATAACCAATCCCTTAACAAACTAAAATAATGACATTTTTAATAAATAATGAAGCCTTTGCTAAAGAGTCCCACTAAAGCTAAAATATTGTTGTTTTGAAAATTTCCCCTTTATATTCCTCGTAATAAATAATTTCTTTACGAAATATAAATTTATATTTTTCATATTATTATAATATTAACATAATGTATTAATATACTTTTAAATTTAGTATTAACTGACATCTATAAATAAACATTTACATAAAATTAAATAAGACGTATGTATCTGTTTGGTTAATTTTATACAAATTTAAATATTTATTTAAACGTATTTAAAATTAAAGGACATAAATATCAATTAAAGCCAAGTAAAGAGCACATTTTATATTCATAAGTTGTGTTCAAATTTTTGATGAATTGAACTCAATTTGACCCTTACTCACTATCTTGAAAAAGAGATTTAACTTCATGGAAGTTGTTAAATGTTTGATCAAACTGAGTTACGGGACAGGTGCACAAACATCACACATCCGCCGCCTACCTACCATTTAGGTGGTACCAATAAGATCCAACTACTTTTTTTTTATACTCCCTGTGTTCGTAATTTGTCCATTTTTGAATTGACACACTTATTAAGAAAATAATTATTGACATTGTAAGTTTACCATTTTATCCATATTAATTGTAAAGTAAATGAATTAAAAACTTAAGATTTTCAAGAAGTTCTCCCATTTTCAAAGTAATTAATTGAAGGTATAATAAGTAAAAAAAAAAGTTATCCTTTCTTGATTTGTCCTTTTTGATTTGTCAAAATGGACAAGTAATTAGAAACAACTAAAAAATAAGTGAATAAGTAATTAGGGACAGAGGGGTAGGTGTTTACCCTTGATTCAATCAAAAGATTAAATCAATTATGAAAACATGAATTGAATTAGTCAATCTATTAATGAAACAAGGTAAAATATTATCAAAGACGAGTGAAGTTATCAAGTCTCCGCGCGCATTGCATTGCTACACATCTTGTTTTAGAGAAATTTGAGAAGAGGTAGAGAGGGGACATCAAACCTGTTGGATCTGCAGTAATCATATAACTCCTTGGTAAATTGTTCCTTCAGAGAATTAAAAACATGATTGAGTGTAGCGTTGATGAAAAATGAGAAAGGCCAAAATACAGAAATTCTCAAATATGTCATCAACGCTGCACTCAATGATGTTTCTAAGCACTCTGTAATAAAGGGCAGTTCGGTGCTCTAAAACTCCCTCTATGTGCGGGCTCCAGCGATACTATGGACTATGCACTCTACCATATTTCTGGAAAATCTCCTGCTTCACATTATTTTGCAGCACACTTTCCACTTCCTTTTATCTTAGTCCACCCTGTTAATCTAATTTAATAGTAGGACAATTGAAGTACTGCTGGAAATTTTGGAGTAGTACATTTGAGTATGAATATATTCGTACTTTTAATTTTAGCTCTCTCTCAGGTTGTACTTGACTCTACGACTCATTTGCAGTTATCCTTGAGTTGTACTAGACAATTTGTACTGCTGTTACTGGAAATCCACTTCTTGATTTTTTAAAATTTGTTTATTCCATCCATATTGTAGTTTGACAAAGTAAACAACCCTACACAAAATGACAAAACTGCAATCCTGCATTTGTTTTTGGAGGACTATAGGTTCCAAAACTTGGTCTAGAGGTTAAGGTGGAGACATGTCAATGAAATCCCATCTAAATGTGGTTAACATATTATTCAAGTGCTGATTTCCTCTCTAATAGAGTATGAACTATGAACTAGGAACAATATTAGACCAAATACATAGACAACCCGTAAAGTTATCAATCAGACATCTAATGCATGCCTAAAAAAGGCCTATTGAGCAATCAACAACAACATTCATTTAAAATTTAAAAACAAAAGAGTAGGAACAAATAAAATCTATTAGAACCAGTAGAACAGAATGATCCGTACATGTATGGAAGAAAAATCTTTCAAAATTCAGGTCCTAAAGAAGTTTATACTCTTCTACTTGAGATTTGAATTTGTCTAAGATCAATGAATGTTACGAGAGACATTTGTCGTATGTATTCAACCTGCTTAACAAATGACATTAGCAAGCTGACTCCAGAAGTTGCTTGGTCCTGCATGCATATCCCAACATTTAATCCTGATCCGAGATGTCCATTGTTCAACTCTCAAGTCTTTCAAAAAAGTAGAGGTATCCCATATCCATAGGGGGATTTTTTGAGACCCCGACTTTTTCATCATTGAAAATCACCCACCGGCCATCTTTGTTAATATGAGCGACATAATGGCCACAGTGGGTAGATGTGCCGATGTGGCTCACGAATCCAAGGAGCCTGTATTCTGTTAATTATCCAAGAAGATACACTTGGTCAAGACCCAAGTGGGCATAAAAGAATATAGAAGTAAACAAAAATCTCACTATCAAGGATTGTGATGCATTGGATGAAATTCATAATAAAATTGAAGTATTAAAACCCTTTTAAAGAGATGTAGGGAACTTCTATCATCCTAAAACTTTAGGTTAGTTAGGTCAAGTCCCATTAGTCCTTGCTCTTAAACGTTCCGGATATATGCAGTGATTCAAACAAATAGTGATGAATTTTCTCTAAAAGAGTTCAAATATCAACACTGCAAAACCAAAGAAACAGGACCCATAATAAATTGGCTTTGAAACTAATTTGCAGCCCTCAAAAGGAAAATGGTTTTAATGAAAGCAACCTGTGCCTCCTTCAACCAAATAAAAATTCCTGTCTCCGGATAAGAAATTAGAAGTTTAGATCAAGAAAAGAACGTGGGGCATCTATATTGACCATTTCCAACCACCAGAAAGTAAGAAACCATGGTATGGAGTTATGATAGAGCCCTCCAGTCAGACTACCGTAAGTTGGAGGTGCGAGACCCCTAGGCGCAAAAGTTGGAAACCATTGTTGCCCCTTGGAGGAGAGAGGGGAAAGAGCTAACAAATCACAAAAAGGAGAAGAAAAATAAACATTCTAACCACATAGTAGTAGTAAAGAATTTTGAAAGGAGACCGGAAGGAAACTAAACTCAAGTATGAATGACGGAAAAATCAATTAGACAGTAAATATAGCATTCCACTTCTAAAATCCATGACCAAGATGATTAAGCCCATGAGAAGGTGAGCCAATATTGGAAGCTCAACGGAAAAACTTAAGTACTAGAACTAGTATACCATTCTATATATAAAATCCTAAACCAAGCTGATTAAGCAGGATCAGAAATATGGAGCCTACAGAAAAATTTATTGTAGCAATACACTACAGAGGCTCCTTCACCTACACCACTCAAAGAAAAGGCTAATGTCCACTGCCTCAGATTTGTTAGGAATATATCATCAGATCCAAATAAAAGCAACAAAACTGTACAACAACTAGTAGAGCCACAGGATAGGGAACTTACTTCCTCCTCCGTCAGGCATCAAGGTATCAACTGCAGCTCCACTACTGGTAGTAACATCCATGTCTGATGCAGTACTGGCGCTAGGGCTGCTGAATATCCATTCAGTAGCTTTTTCAACATCACCTCCCTTGTGAACAGATAGAAACAAGGAAAGGACAAACATTATGCTATTGGCAGTGAATAGCAAGGAACCTCGCAGTGAATAGTAAACGCCAGTAAAAGTGAGATATTTACCGATGCCTTCAGGGCCTTACGGGCAAGTTTCTCTTCAAAACCAAATGAAACCAGCGTATCAACTTTAGATTGATCAATGTCAGGATTTTGCACGTTTTCTGATATAGGAGCATCAATATCTGGGAAGAAAATATGCATCAATATACCCTGTTTCTAGTAATGGTGAGAAATATGAGTAAACCCTGCTTGAAAGGAAACATTAAAACTACCTGGATCACTCATATGATTAAGTAACCAATCCATTGCTGCCTCTACTCCACTGTTGGAGGTATTGATTGCAGCCTTCTGACAATGAAGTAGATTAAATCCCATTGAAACAAGTTGTGCAACAATATCATCGTCAGCCAGAAGCTTTATTGACTGCTCACCATCCCCTGCAGCTGTACATGGACAAGTAATCCAACATAGCAATTAGCAGCAATTTAGTACTTGCAAAAACATGACCCAAAAGTTTCAAACCCTAAAGGAACTTGGCATACAAGTAGCACCTATTGCTAAAACTTCTGATGTTAATTTATGTGATGACCATTGATCACACCCACTAAAAAGCTGCTAAGACAAGCATCCTTAAGCTTGCAGATCCCCAAGAATTGGAACAACCATTAGCTGGAGAGTGAGAAGCAACACCAATTACTCACTTACTAAAAGAAACTATTGCGTAGAGCAGGAATTAGATTAAATAGCGACTGGAATTCTATTTCATGAACTATGAATTTCTGAGGTATATACTGTCAGTTAAATATGGCTCTATGCATACAGAACTCTATCCTGTCGGCTGTTGCTACTCCCATTCAATAGAGAAACTTGAACGAAACAAATATTACTTCCAAAACACTATAACATAATTTAAAGTCTAAAAGTTGACTGCATAACAAAAACAGAGTCAAAATAAAAATTAAATAAGATGCCAAATCATTTTTTACATGTATCATCAGACAAACTAAATAAGCTAAGCAATGTTCAATGTTATCTAAACAGACACAACCTGACTAAGCAATTAACAGATTGATTGAGAGAAAATAATGCAAGCTAAAGAGCAAATCTTATGATTCAGAAATAGAACACTTAGCAATATGCAAATAGAAAAATAGAACACTTAGCAATTTGCAAATAGAAACAATAGCCTCGAATACAGACAAAAGAAAAGAGTCACAAACTTCAAAAAACCCAAGGAGAATGAGACTCATACAAGTCTACCCCGCTCATATGGTGCGTCCTCCACACCCAAAAGACAACAAATATTTTTTTATGAGAAGGATCCCACACAATTACTTCTATTTCCAAAAAGGTTTTTTGCCACACTCTCTCTCAGAAAGCCAAGGCTTTATGTCCTCATTATTCAAGTAGAAGAGTGACAATCAAATATTCTTGAAAAAAATTGAGTAGCTAGAAAAGGGACGCAAGGCAGAAAACAAGTTCTGCGACAAGACCAGATAGACATGCTTAATTATTCTTTGCAATAGAGCACTATTGGGCTGAAATGGAATACATTTTCTACGAGATCACTATGAATTTAGTAGAAGACAAGGAGATTCGTACCACTGTCAGGCAACAGCTCTTCTCCTGGTTGAATACCATTACTTCGCATGCTACTTATGTCAATGGTTTCAGGGACATCTATGTAGACATCTAGAAGGACCGTCAGAGAAAAAGATTAGCAATATAACAAGATAAACTACACTTATCAGAATTACATCGATAAAGAAAAAGTAACATACCAAGCTTCTTTGGCACCCAACCTTCCTCCATAACAAATTTCCGCATGTGCAAAACCAGATAATCTGGAAAAGAAGTCAAACCTGCAGTTCTATTTACAAACAAAATTAAATAAGATAAAAAGAAGTAGCCTCATCAGGTTCGACAGTCGAGCAAATAGATAAAGGTGATAGACACTAGCCATCCACTGCTGATAGACAAGACATCTATAATTTCTACAGCCAACTGTGTAAGAAGTATGGAAGCCAAAAAGACAAGGTACTAGGCCCTACTAAAACAACAGACGAGATGCATGAAAACTAAATTTGAGATGCCACAAGCAGAACAAGAGAAATTGAAGAAATAACTTCATAGAGGAGAATAACAAGATTACTTGATTGCTGTTGTCCTAGCCGTTAAAGCTGTGCTGTAGAAATCATGCACCTCCTCAGGAGCTGAAAAGCAATCTAGGCAATCCTTCAATGACACTCTAGGGCGAACAATTTCATCAGCAGACCTGCAAAAACCCATACATTTAGCTGAAGTACATGAAAGGCAAGCATGCATTGGTCACTTGAAACTCACAGTTCTTTTCCTCCTGCAGCTCTCTCAGCCTTCAAATTTTGAAATTCTGCTAGCTCTTCTGGAATTTCATACAAAACGAAATATCAGAACGGAGGCAGTATTACTCATTAATATCAAGCTCAGCTGAAATTTTGCAATGAACAACATATAAGAAAAGGGCAGGAAAAAAGTATTAGACAAAAGAGAAAACTCACTTTTATTTACAGCCCTCTCCAAAGGAATATTAAGAGACAGAATATAATCATTCCTTCTGTTGTAAGTAACTTTGCCTGAGGAACATTGGAGGCGTTCTTCAATACCAAACTTGAAGCTCCTCGATGGATCAAAATTATGTGTCCCAGAGTTTATCCGTTCAACTTGATCAATAAAATGCAGGAAGAACTCTAACGCATCCTAGACATACGTTGTTATCAATAAACCACAAGAATAGCAATAGCCATGGCAATGGCAACAAACAATGAACATGATCGCAAGACAGAAAAATAACCTACTGGGGTTTAAAGGCAATAAAGTGAAGGGACCATGAAACTAATATGAGCAATGCACAACAGTTCTGACCACATCAGTGGCAGACTAAATTGAAAAGAAAATCCAAGTGTTGATGTAAGTATCAACTTAGCCAAACACTGCATCAGCTGGATGGAAAAAGAGCTCAAATGGATTTTTAAGGTGTGAAGCAGTACCAAGAGATTGCTGGAGTTCTTTTAGTAGAGGGAAGCATTATCATGCTTGAATCTAATAATCTTAAATTAAAAGCAATTGTCTGGGAGTAGAAGATTCCAAGAATGTCAGTGTACCTGTTGTCTCATTGTTGAAAATTCAGGGTGACTAGCAGCTATTACTGACTTGAACATTCGAGGACGGATACCCTCCTGTTTCTGCAAAGTGATGGGAGCAAGTACTTATAAGAAGAGAAGATGGATAGAAGTGAAAAAGGCATGCTATGAAAAGAGAAGGAAGAAAGAAAAAACTCATGTGAGTACTGAAATTATGTCCCCAAGTAATGAGAAGCATTTCTTAATGCACGACAAGTGAAAGAAAAACTCTTGAAAATTATTTTGCAAAATCCTAAAAAATATAGTCAATGAACCAGATACCATAAGTTCTGGGGGGGGGGGGGGGGG